CATACTGCATTTCAACTGAACCAAACACTCAGTAATGACTCTACTGAAGAGACAGCCTGACCACTGTTACCACTGGTAACACTTTTACAATGGAAGTTTCCTATGAGCTAGGAAGGCAGCAGCAATACGATAGCTTTTCTTCCTGAATAAGTCTTTATTACAATCACCCAGAAATACATTTTCCAGGTACCATAAGACTCAAGAGGTTTTTTCTTTCTTTTTTTTAATTTTTTAATGTTTTATTTATTTCTGAAAGAGAGAGCGAGAGCACACATGAGCAGGGGAGGGTCAGAGAGAGAGAGACACAGAATCTGAAACAGGCTCCAGGCTCTGAGCTATCTGTCAGCACAGAGCCCGATGCAGGGCTGAAACCCACGATCTGTGAGATAATGATCTGAGCCGAAGTCGGACGCTCAACCGACTGAGCCACCCAAGTGCCCCTCAAGAGGTTTTTTTTCTGATCACCAAAGTCCTCAGATTTTAGTAAAAGGAAATCTCCAGGGTGAGAACTCCAAATACCAGTCTGAAGCCTGAGCCACTTTGCCTTACAAGCAGTTTCATCATTAAAATTCTATAATAATCATTGCTTTTGCAGAACAGGGCTATAATTTCTAAAGATAATAAGGAGCAAATAATTAGTAAACACAAAAAGTGAGACATTGAAAAGAAAAGACAAAGTTGCAGAAAGTCAAATGTAGTAAGAACCACTAATGTCAAAATTTTAAATGTACACAACATTGCTGAGTATTGTTGGTGGCTACTTACAAATGCAATAAAAGTTTAAAACTGCACATAGGAATAATACTCACCTACCTAATGAGAGAAGTCACCCCGAGAGTAGAAATGGGAAGAGATGGAAATGAATTTTAGTGGTATCTGTGACATTTTATTTCCCAAAAAAAAAACACTGTGCACAGTCTGAAGCAAATGGGAGGAAACATTAATATCTGCTAAATCTGAGTGGTGGGTTACTCTTCTGTATTTCCAAAATATTTCCTAATTTAAAGTAATATTTTAAAGTGATTACAAGTGGCCAAATAAACTGAGAACTACAAACTTCAATGATGTTCAAAACTGAGGCTCCAAGATCTGGAGAACTAATCTCAAGTTAACAACAAAACAGCTATTTAGGAAGTCAGTCCTTTGCCACTGACTCACATACAGATTAGAATGAGATTTACCTTCCAATAAGTACAGGCTCATTTACATAGCAAAGTTCGGAGAAGTTTCCTAGATAATTTAGTACTCAAGATCACATGTGTCCAGGTTGTACTACACAATATCAATTGTCCAGAACCAGGAAGTGTAAAAAAAAAAAAAAAAAAAAAAAAAAAAGCCTGTACAGAAGCCAGAATAGATGATACAAAGTCCATACAATAAAGCTCATATCCTTCACTCAGAAGAGTCCATCAAACTCTCACTTAGACATTTCTTTTGAAGCTCACAAAAGCTTGTTTATCTGGTTAGTTAGACCTCTTCAGATCAAGTTCAATAAAATAGAAGAGGGAAGAAATTACACAATCAACAGCAACAAGGCACCAGAAGCAGCAAGAAGTAATAACCTAACAGTAAGAAAAACAAACAAAAAGACTTTATAGATATGAAAGTAATAAATTATAGTAATAATTGGGTAGATCTGTGGTTGCAAATATCAATGACAGATGTTCAGAACAATGCCCAGTATTTAAAAAAAGAAGAAAAGAAACAAACCTAGTTTATAAGGAACGAGAGTTTTAAAAAAATACATTTTTGGAATATTTCCATCCAAATTAGTAAACTTTTTTTTTTAAGTCTAAGTACTTCAAAGGGTAAACTTCATTTATCTGGAAAAATCATTGCAAAATTCATTGCTGGATGATAATAGATAAAGCTTAACATATAAAAATGTCTTATATTTAGGTGTTTCCTCAGACATACAATTCAGGAAATAATAGAAAATCCAAACAAGTTCAATTTCTTATTACCAATCTTTCCAATTTAATTTCTTAAAACCATTTAGTGATTTCTCACAATGCTGCACAAAGTATTAATTTTATCACTTTTTAAGTAATAAAACACAACCAAAATGACTGCACTTAGAAAATATGCAAAATTTGGGCAGAAAATTCCATAACACAGGGTTGACAATAACATGCATTTAGGTGCCAGGTTTTAGCCTGCCAAACAAACTACTATATCTGTAACTCTCTGCTAAGTGCCAATTTAGTCATCACCAGCATGAGTATTTTGTTGGCAAAGACCAAGAACTGTCTACTATATCCTGACTTCTGGCCTTGAAGGATGAAGTTAATTTCTTTGGCACAGGTTAAATATTTCCATGAGAGAAAGCCCAATTACTGAATAAACCACAATATACTCATAACAAAAAACTGTAGCCACTCTCATAAACATCTATTTTCTAATTAATTCACAAAGCAAGAGAATCAGAATTTGAAATAGTTACAAAAGCTTTCAAATATCCTAAAGGGGGGCGGGGGTGGTGGTGGTGGTAAGAATGTCCCATCTCTCTAGGCCCATGATAACACATTTGCAAAAACCAGCTGATCTAGACCACACTCACTTAAAAGACAACTGCTTTTAAAACTGGTGCACGTTGACTAATTTCTTCACCTTCCCTAGGAGTCCACACCCCAGACCAGGTTAAAAATCCACTAAGTTTCTAATATGTAACCTGTACAAATACTCTGAGCTTATCATAAAATTTTGCAACTAAAGCAACGAAGCAACTTGCATACTTTGTGTAACATGATTCCAACTGTTAGGAAACTGACCCAGTACCAGCTATAAATCGAGATTTCTAGAGATATAATAAATCTTGTCCACAGTTTTTGATCTTCACAATAAGATACCACAATTATTAATGCCACAATTATTGCCCCAACCCATGGATCTCAAAAACATGAATATATGCTTCTTACTACTAATGTTAACTTTTTACCAACATTAACTCCTTTACTCTTCCAAAGGTGGCAATGTGTACAATTAAAGAGTCCAATCACCCTTTAATAAAACCTGTTAGATTTCACTATCATACCATCTTTCATTTGTGTTGCCACGTAGCCTGAAAAGAATTTCTGAACAGAATTGCTTTGAAAAGCTCCTGTTACCAGGTGCTCCCTCAATGGCCCAAAGCAGTCTTTCACGTATTTTTCATCACTTTGGGAAAAGCAAGTAGAAAAGGGGTAAGGAGAAGTATGTCACTGCATCTTATTCTGTCCCAACACTTACTTAACACTGTGACTTCACTTCCTAATAATCACTTGAAAAAATCTTTACTGATAGTCTTTTTCTGAAAAATTTCCCTAAACAGGCATACCTCTCCAAAACCCTGAACCCGTGATACCAACTAACGAGGTAAGGAAACAAATGATTTTTTAAATCTTTCTTAGTCTTTTCACATAATGCGAGCTCATTCATCACAGGTCCTTCTTCCCGCAGGTTTGCCAAGTCACAAGACACACTGCTGTTTACAATCCCTCCCATCTGCCCCCTGCCAATATATATCAAACACTCTAGTCACTTGGCTTACACAGTCTCCCAAAGAACCCTCTCAAATCCTAATTTAGACGGAAGATACACTCATTCTGATTCACATTCTTAATGGAAATTTTTTAAATCGCCTGACTTTCAAAGAGATAAATTTCACCTTTTCACACAGCCAGACCCTAGAGCCCTCATGCTTCCCCCCGCCCCCCGCTAGCAATTCATACGTGACAGTATACTTTTTAATCCTACACTCTGAGACATATTTTCAATCTGAGTACTCAGCTTTCAAAGACAACTTCAAACTTTCGATTCACTCCAGCACCATACATTCCTTTCATTTCACTGCGATATACACCCTGTTCTTTAAGCTTGAGGCCTACTGGTTCGTCCTCTCTGACTGCAGTAGAAAAACGATTGAAACAATATATTTACCATCGTTCTTTTTAAAGATAACTGCTAAACGGTTCCCATTTCTCAACACAGACTTCACATAATACATCATAAAACATGGGATATCACAAATGTCTATTGTTCGGGACCTTTGGAGGGCATCAATACTAAACGTCTCCAAAATCAAACAGTACTTCAGATAATGTGTGTGTGGGGGGGGGGGTGCATGATTCACCAAAAACTGCAATGAAGAGTAATGGAATATTTTCAACAGTGGTATGCTAGAACTAACAGCTTCTTTCAGAAGAAGAGTACTGCTAAGCAACCATCGCTCTAACAATAAATCCACCTGCTTCCCAGGCTGCAAAGCTAGGAAGACGGGAGGAGAAGCGGACGTGGGGTCCTCCTTCAGCTTCTCTAGAGGTTAGGAGAGAACAAAGTCACTGCTGCACTGTCACTTGAGGGGAAGGGGGAGGGGGCGGATCATCTTGGAAACCCGGCCCCTGGGCCGGAGCAGGCGGGGAGAACTCAGCAAGGCTGCCTGGGATTAGCATTCTCCTTCTCACCCTCTCCCCCCTTCTAGAATCTCCCCTCCACGCTAACGCGCGGCGGTCGGAGTCTCAGATGACCGGCCCTTCCAATGTGTCCTCCGTGGGGCGTAGGGAGAACCAGAGAAAAGAACTGAGTCAGGAGGGGTGAGACAGAGCGTGGGCTCCCATGACCCCTCTGGCCTCCCCCAACAGCCTCCTGCCTCGCCCGGAACACTACCGAGCCCGGAAGGGCCTGGGGCCGGGGGGAAGGGGGTGGGGGGAGCCCGGCACAGGTGTGCTCGCCCCAGGCAGGGGTGGGGGCTCTCGGGCAGGGCCCGCCAGCTCCCTCCGCGCACCCCGCAGCGCGGCCCGGCGTGGGGGGGTGGGGGGCCCAGCCCAGCAGGGCAGAGCACATCGGCCGGGGCGCCCCGCGGCCGCCCCAGAGGGGCGCGCCGCTCCCCGAGCCGGCCTCGCCAGCCCCGGGCCCGCAGCGCCCAGGCCCGCCGGCCTGCCCGCCCTCCCGGCCGGGCCCCCAGCCCAACCCGCGGCCTGCTTGCCCCGCAGCTCGCCCCCGGCGCCCGAGGGTTGCCGTACCTGGGCGGCGGCCTCCAGCTTGCCCTCGAAGGTGAAGTCCAGCAAGTCGGGCTTGAGGCAAAGGCTGTAGTTGATGGGGGAGACATCGGCAGGCAGCCGCTCGAAGGGCCTCTTCTCCGGCATCGCGGCGAGGCCCAGGCTGTGGAGGCGGCGGCGGCGGTGAGAGGAGCGGCTGAGGAGAAGGAGGAGGGGAGGAGGCGGAGGGCCGAGGAAGAGCAGGCGGCGAGCGAGGGAGGGGGCGGCGGCTGCCAGCCACATCCACCGAGCGCGGGCGACCGCCTGAGGAGAGCGACCGGGGAGCCTGGGGAGGGGGGCGGGGGAGAGACCCAGCCGGAGCGCTCGGGGCCGGGAGGGAGGCAGTGCGGGCGGGCGGGCTGCCTACGGGGAAGGGGGCGGAGGGGAGGGGCAGGGGAGGAGGGCCTGCAGGGAGGGAAGGAGGCGGTGGCGGCGGCGGCAGCTGCGTGCGCGGCCCCGTCGGCCGGGCGCGCCCCCGCCGCTGTGCGCGCGCGCGCCGGGACAGTGGGCGGAGCGGCGAGGGCGCGGCCGGCTGGGAGAGAGGGTGCGGGGTCGCGGGCGCGTGCTGGGGGCGGATGGCGGTTCCCTGCGCTGCACCTGTCGGCGCCACCGGGGAAAGCCGGCTCGGTGGCGGGCGGAAAGGAGCCTAGAAGGGTTGGAGAAGCGGAGGGAAAGCCGTGCAAGGAGCCCCCACACACCCCCCACCCCCAGCTAATTTTGGAAGTTGAAGCCTATGCAATGGGCTGGTACAGTCTGGGTAAAATGTTAAAATATTGATTCAGAGCAAAACCCCAAGCTGGATTTTTACCTCCACGTAAGCGGAAAGCCCCGACTAGAGGCTGTTTGGCAGCGATCATTCCTGCAATTTTAAGCAGCAACTTGAAGGGATGATTATGAAAAAATATTGTCAGAAAACTTTTAATAATCCAGGTTACTTAAACCAATGCAATTTGGACCTTTGAGGAAGTGATTTCAAAAGTTAGGAAGATTTTCATTTCCGCGATTTAATGCTCACAGTAAGCTATGTTTCACCTTTTTCCCGTTTTCATCTTTGCTTCTGCTTTTTTAAACCAAAAGACCCTTTACTAATTGTGTCCTCTTTCAAGTTAAAGTAGCTGTGGTTCCCTCGCTTCTGGAGATACCTCACATATTGGGGTTATGTATATTTTAATAGAAATGTATATTAATTATATATAAATATGCATATATTTAAGTATGCGTTTTTGAAGTGTCAAGGGCAAAGAGATTCAAACATAATCCCCATATTCCTTCATAGAAACTTCTCGTGTAGTACCCCTTGATTTCCGAAACTCAAATGCTGAGTGATATACCGGACCAGCACTGTACTATGGAAATACATTGGAGCTAACTAAGTTATGTAACTAAGTTTTCTAGTAACACAACAGAGAACAAAAAAGGGAACAAGGGAAATTGACACATCTTATTTAACCCAGCATATCCAAAATATCATTTCAACCTGTAATGAGTATAAAAATGATGAGATTTTTTTTTCCATACTGAAGCTCTGGAATCCAGTGTATATTTTACATTGATAGCACATCTCAGTCTGGCTAGCCACATTTATAGTGCTTGATTGCCCCCTGAGACCAGTGACTTTGTCTTGGACATTGGGCCTGCCCTTTTGTTCTCTAAATCCTGCATACCTTTTAGGACAGACTGAACAACTGCAATCCTCTCAAACTAAGATGTGAGATGAGGCCTTTTGTTACATGCAGGCCTCTCTGTGACCACTTCTAGGTCATGGAAATAGTAATAGTAATAACTTAGTTACATGCTAATACTCTAGAAACTGAATAATAATGTATTCAGTGCTCACTACATGCTTTTCACATATTAATTCATTTAATCTTTTCAACAGCTCATTTAGGTAGACCCCATTATTCCCATTTTACAGATGAGAAAATGGGCACACGTAGATTCAGTGACTTGCCCAAGGTCATACAGCTAATAAAACTGGCATCAGGACACAGCCATTTTTTTTCTCTCCTGAAAAATTTTGCCTCAGCCTCCCTATTTTTCTAACTCTCCAGTTCTGTTTTATTCCAGTCTGTCTGTATCTGCTTCTTAAAAAGTTATCCTCATTATGTGAGTACACATAAAACTCCCTCTTGTCTGTTAAAGCAAATTTTATTTATAACCATTTAAGGCTCTACATGAACTGTCCTTAGATTTGTTTTTTCTGTTACATAGATTCTCCAGTCTTGGCAAGCTAACCTGTTTACTCTTTGGTCCTCACAATTTGCTCATTCTCTCTTCTCTACCATTGCCTTACGCTCTTACTGGGAAGACTTTTTGGCCAAACCCATGCTTCTTCCTTCAAAACTCACCTTTTCCAGAAAGCTCTCATTGGCTAACTCCACTCAACTCTAACTCCCAAGTACTAGCCTTCGCTGATTTATTTGTATTTCTTCTGTTGTTTCATAATTATATTTTTAATTTGTTTATATGGATACCTTTTCAAGGTGTACTTCTGATTCCTTTGTAACTGTAGGTATTGAACCCTGAACAAATACATCTCAATTGTTATTGACCCAACTAACCAATTGATCTGGAAAGAATATATTATCCAGTCTGTAGCCTTTCCTTTTTGTACAAGATGTATGCCCTGTAGAGAAACTATGTGAACCTAAGACTAGAAGCAACCTTTTTTTTTTTAATAAAATCACAGAAACAATTTTTTTTAACTTTTTAAATGTTTTTTATTTATTTCTAGGAGAGAGAGAGAGAGACAGTGTGAGCAGGAGAGGGTCAGAGAGAGAAGGAGTCACAGACTCCGAAACAGGCTCCAGCCTCTGAGCTGGCAGTCAGCACAGAGCCCGACGCGGGGCTCGAACCCACGAACCGCGAGATCATGACCTAAGCGAAAGTCGGAAGCTTAACCGACTAAGCCACCCAGGCGCCCCTCACGGAAACAATTTTTAAAAATCAGCAGGACCATAGACTTCATAGCAGCAGTAATTGTGACCCTGCTGAGGGAAAAGGGGAGAACCTTACCTGGACTCTCCCTAGTTCCTAGACCCAGAAAGTTCCAATGCAGCAAGTCAGAAGTGAAGCCAGACTTACTACCTATAACTTGGGACTGGGGAATGGAAGGTTGAATTGGGGAATGGACATACAGTTCTCATGAGACTGGCTAACAACCTAATATGCTTCAGGCAGACCTCTCTGGAATAACCTAAATGAAGAACACAAGGGCTCTTGGAAATTCGTTTCCCTGCATGATGCTTCAGAAGAAGTGGGGGTCACAGGGGTAGGGGAAGATTCAGTAATGTCTCAAGGTCATTAGCCTTACTTCTAACAGATTTCTTGTCTTCTCTGTTTAAGGAAGCCCTTGAAAATCTAAATTAAAAAACCCAAGCAAATTGTATACTTCAATAAGAAGAAAGAAACAACTAGGGGCGCCTGGGTGGCTCAGTTGGTTGAGCCTTTGACTTTGGCTCAGGTCATGATCTCACAGTTCAAGAGTTCAAGCCCTACATTGGACTCTACTGTCAGCAGGGAGCCTGCTTCAGATCTTCTGTTCATTCCCCTCTCTTTCTGCCCCTCCTCCATTTGTTTTCTCTCTCTCTCAAAATAAATAAGAAAGGAAGGAAGGGAGGAAGAAAAGAAAGAAAGAAAGAAAGAAAGAAAGAAAGAAAGAAAGAAAGAAAGAAAGAAAGAAAGAAAGAAAAAGGAAGGAAGGAAGGAAGAAAGAAAGAAAGAAAAAGAAAAAAAGAAAGAAAGAAAGAAAAAGGAAGGAAGGAAGGAAGGAAGAAAGAAAGAAAGAAAAAGAAAGAAAGAAAGAAAAAAGAAAGAAAGAAAGAAAGAAAGAAAGAAAGAAAGAAAGAAAGAAAGAAAGAAAGAAAGAAAGAAAGAAAGAAAACTAAAGTCATTCTAGGGCTTCTGGCTGGCTCAGTCAGTAGAGCATGCAACTCTTGATCTTGGGGGTCTTGAGTTCAAGACCCACATTAGATGTAGAGATTACTTAAATAAATACATAAATCTCAAAAAATAAATCAGTGAAGTCATTCTAATCTTAGACATTTTTGTCCTTAGAGTTAAGGCACTAGTCTGAGTCTGAGGACATAAGTCCCAATCTTACCACTGACTTTGTCTATGGTCTAGAGCAAGTCTTATAATTTCCCTGTTTCAGTTTCCCCGTTTATAAAGCAGACAAGTGCATGATGAATGCTTTTCCCAAAGAAAAATATTATGTTACCTGTGGTTTAAGAATTTCTAAAAGAGGGGCGCCTGGGTGGCTCAGTCGGTTAAGCACCCGACTTCAGCTCAGGTCATGATCACATGGTTCGTGGGTTCAAGCCCCGCGTCACCGCTCTGTGCTGACAGCTAGCTCAGAGCCTGGAGCCTGCTTCAGATTCTGTGTCTCCCTCTCTCTCTCTGACCCTCTTCTGCTCATGCTGTTTCTCTCTCTCTCTGAAATAAATAAAACATTAAAAAAAATTTTTTTTAAGAATTTCTAAAAGTCTATCATGTTCTTAATGCTCGTATGATCTTCATAGCAGGAATGCTAGATAAAGAGCTGGAGGAAATGATATGTCAAATAAATGTAAATCATTGGAAGACATGTTTTAAAGCAAAGATAATATAAAGGAGTTGGGACAGGAAGCCAAAATATTCAGGAAGGAGGGAAACACAACCTGTCTGTGGAACATTGAAAGGGGAAGAGAAAGATGTGGAAGACTTTGGAAGACCATACAAAACCCACCATATTAGATCAAAACTAAGCGTAATTGTTAATATATAACCTCTCTGATGTAGAAATTATAGCCTTCAATGTCACTTTCAAGCATGGAAATTACAACTCTAACTTCACTATTATGAGTCTTGACCTGTGGAAGATAGCACGGGGGTTCCACAAACCGGGGACACAAAAAGGTAGAGAACAATCCATGGGACGCTCATGCCATGAGATCCCAGCGTTGACTCTCTGTAACATAAAACAGCTGTTGGAATGACTGTTGGAAAAGTGAGGAGTAGATGGAATATTGCCTGCCTATCCTGTGTTTTTCATGAAAAGAAAGCAGATTAATTCCGTATGCTTTAAAATGTATACTATACTGATGGTTACTATGTATAACAGGTGGTGTGTATGTCTACATGTATATATAAATACAGCTGACCTTTGAAAAAGGCTGGGATTGAGGCACAGTCCCCTGTGCAGTTGAAAGTTTGCATGTAACTTTTGACTCTGACTTAGCTACTAATAGCCTATTGTTGACTGGAGGCCTTGCTGATATCAGTTGATTAACACGTATTTTATGGTGGGGGGAGGTTATTTAAGTTTATTTATTTTGATAGAAAGAGCACAAGTCAGGGAGGGGCAGAGAATGA